TGCATACTGAATAATGAAAATTCCAAATATGATATATTATTCTTTACCAGAACTATAATGTCAGTTAACAGTGATTTTATTGAATTGAATTTGATTGCTGTGAATTGCTTGAATGTGTGTTTATAGTAAAGAACTATAAACACACGTTTAAGCAATTCACTTGAAGGTATGTTTTCTTGAAATAAAAGTATACTTATTGGATTCAATTCAGTGTTGCATCTTAGAACACGTAATGATACCTCATTGTTAGGCATTTTCGATAGTCTTGAAAAATCATAATTGGTAACATATCTTACTAAATTCAGTTCTTGCTAAATTGTGTTCAGCATCATTTAGCATTTGCAGTTTTATAGCTAAATTAAATTCCAATAGATCTATTACACTAAGCAGTTACAGTTATTCAGTTCTATTTTCTTTATATTTCAGGAAAACAATGAACCTTTCTAAGAATGCATACTGAACAATGAAAATTCCAAATATGATATATACTTTACCAGAACCATAATGTCAGTTAATAGTGATTTAATCTTCATACATAAGCATATCCAATAATCTTGAAATATCAAATCTGGTAGCATATCTTAAATATATCCAGTTCTTATTAAATAAGGTGTTCATCATTTAACTTCAGTAGTTTCACAGCTACATTTCAATATGTTCATTAGATTGGACACACTTTTTCATCTTTATACTCTTTACGTTCTAATAATAAAATGAAGTTTATTTCTAAGAAAGCATATTGAATCCAATAAAGAAATCAAATAACTTAACATTAACTTCACTTGGTTTAATTCCCGCAGGTATATTTTATATATTAGATCATTTAAGTCATTATCACTTAAAAGTTTCCGATTTTCAATATGCAAAACAATTTGTAAACCACACTTTACATGCATCTTCCAGCCATCAGTAACTTCCATCCGACTAGATCTAATCTTGTATTGGAACAGTATAATGAGGTCCTTAATATTCCGAAACATACATTAAATCGCTATATACAGATATAATACGCATACATATAAACACTTTCATTCCAAAAAACTAAACGTACATTCAAAGAGCGCACTTCGTAACTCCGAACAGCTGATTGTAAACAAACATCACAAATGTGACATCACTCATGTGGGCGGAGTTAATGGTGACGATCATCTGGACTGTCATTGGCCAAATTCAAGCCGTTGTCCTAGCAGTGTACATTTTGCTTATATGCGGCCCGTACAAGACATCTCTGCTGAATCTGGGTCGACAATTTATTTTCGGTTAGATTGCATGATTTTCTGTGCCACCCATCATAGCAACTGATCAAGGTTGACAATTCCAGTCCTACCTTTTCTCTCCTATAACATCTGCGTTTGGAATATGCCGAATTTGCACTTCCCTGTATCGTCCTTTTGAAAATGGCTTGTAGGAGTGTTTTCACCGTGACTTAAAAGCAGCCCTAACGTGTCATACTTGTTGGACTACATCACTTCATCTTGATTTATGTTCTCCCTTCAAGGTACATCCGCCGAACATGTTTACGCCGTGACGCTTCGATTACCGTCTGACTTCTTTCAACCATCCTCTGCTTCAGCCGAACCATCCGCCTTCCTCCAGACTTTCGGAGAAGTGATGAAACTCCGGCTTCTATTTCATGTCATAAAAAGCAACTTCGTTCGCGCATCCAATACAGAACACCAGCACTCATGTGTCTGTGCCTAACGACGCGGTAAAATCTCCTCTCACTCCTCTATACGATGGTCCCTTCAAAATATGTGCACGTAGTAATAAAAATTTCACCGTTCTCGTGCGAGACAAAAAAACTATCCTAGAAATTGTCAATGAAAGTCTGCATTTTGTGAAGCTTCGAATCTTCCTATTCCTGCGATCAGTGATTCTCCCTTGCGTTTCCGGATCCCTCTGCTTCACCAGATGATCCTCCTTCGCTTGATCTTCCGCTTCCTTCAAGTGTTCCACCGGTCGTCAAACGCTCGAGAAGATGTGTTCGCTTCAATTTCAGATATTTGTGACTTCTTTCTTCGTACCTTCGGCATTCGAGAAGAGAAATATTGTGGAGGACTCTTAGAAAGTAGAAAGATCCAAGAAATGGCGCTACTAGCTTTCGCTTCCCGTCCAGTAAGGGAGGGGAATTTGTGACTGAACAAGGAGTCCCTAGCTGGAAGCCATTGGTGACGTGATCTCGCTCATGTAGCGTGACACTGGCTGACATTTGAGCTATCATATTTGCTTCCATTCCGGAAGTTCACCTATGATGTACATTCAAAGAGCTTCATTGATTGTATTAAATGATTTACACGTGATATACATCTTTATTATTTGCGCAAATATGCTAATATATTTTTTTAATCAAGTAGTAGATGTAAAACCAGGCATATCATTTTCCTCCTTTGCATTAATACATTGTAAGGATTTATTTATTTGTATTTAACCAGTTATTTATTACTGTAATTCTCCTTTCCTGTTTTTCCTGCCAGAATGCTAATTTTTACTTCACGCTTATTCAAATGAGGCAGAAAGAGATAGTATTTAAACGAAGGTTATAGATTGTTTAATCAGATCGTGTTCCGAGTGCTTAAGGCTACATTATTAGTTGCAATTCTTCAAGAGCAATCTGTCTTTGGCTTTTTTTCTTCTTTTTTTTGGGGGGGGGCAAAAGTGCTTGTCAGTCGGCATAGGCTTGAGCCAACTTGTATTTATTCCTATGTAGCATCTGGATAACTTACGACCTAGTTTTAATTTGAATTTCTATCATTTTGAGTTCTGAATAAAGGGTCTTTTACACCCTTCTTAAGTTCTGCTTCATCTTAGACATAGCGATAAATTGCTTACACAACATGATTCTATGGAATAGTAACTCTAATTCAGACTAAGGTAAGGCGTAACAAGCTGGTAACTTTTAGACAGAAATTGGTTGACATAATGTATTGTCAAAGCTAGAACATACGATGTACGTTAGCCAAACTTAGCAATAGTATGCATATACAGATGATGTAATGGAACTGATAGTAACAGCTTTAAAGGTGATATGCCTAAGCAAAAGCACAGTGAGTAAACATAGCGTCTTCTAGTACTGCATTTAGGAAACGGCTTGCAGCGAGCTGTGTGATGGTTCTGATGATGAATCAGGCGCTCACACCAGGAAAAAGATTCGAGTACCGGTAAGGCATAAGGCCGAAGCAGGATTTTGGCTTGGTGGTACGATGTTTGGCTTCTATGCGACAAACCCCAGCTCAGCCTCCAAGGTTACTTACTACCTTCAATCACACTTTTCGCTACGACTCGTTTTCTATCCTTAACACTAGATGCCGCCATCAAACAACAGCAGAAGACGAAAAAACAACGGGGGCGGCCACATAAAAGTTTTTAGGGCTATTTTCAGCTAAAAATCTGTGGGAAATCCCTTCCCCCTTGCGGCTGAAAAGGATAAGTACTACTACAGAATCCAGCTGTAAAAGCTCAAAATAGGGTGAAGACAGTATCGTCCTGATGTGCCTATCCAGATTGTGTGTCGTCCTGGTAATCGACAAGCCAAGTACCTGCTCATCTAATGTAATAAGAAAGTAGATTCTATTGACACAAGTCAGCAGTTTATACGAGTCAAGTTAATCACCATCTTATGTTCTTTTTTTCCCTCACTTGAAATAAACTGACATATCCTATTCATCTGTTCTGTAAAGCTCAAGGAAAGCCTCCATTAAAATCCTTATATTTTACTTTCATCAAGTACGCTCCATTGGTAAGCAACCACGTTTTCTACTACGTATTATTCTCAACAATACTAAAAACCAGCAAAATCAATAGAGAGAACGATTGTCAGGCATTAATTGTAACCACATTGAATTTGTATAACAAATATGAAAAATTATTTTAAAAGAAATACAGCTCTTAAATAGATCTAAGATCGCCAAAAATCTAAACAAATTCGCCAGAAAAAGATTAATTCTATCTGACAAAATTTTGAGCTTTTAGTATAGAGAAAAGAAAATTTCATTAAAAACTGTTAATAATGTCATGGTATTAAAATTTGATTTGGATATATATTCAACATATATGATTGTTTTTCTTTATGTTAAGCAAAAAAAAAAAAAAAAAAAAAAAAACTTTAATGGTGATTATGAATATTTGTTTTCATTACTGTTAATGAAATACTTTTATTACTTTTACCCAAGCTCTAATTTTCCTATTTGATTACAATAATTACACAAGATTTAAATCTATTTTAAACCTACTTTAAAGTCTATTTTTATTTATATATTGTTCAAAATTGGTTATTTTAAACGTAGTAATATTCCAACTCATGTTGCCTAAATTTGCCACTCGCACATATGTTGTCTAACCTAAATTATAGAACTTTATGCAGTTTACGTACATTCAAGATAGATTTTTCATATATTTCTATAGTCGGTTTTGTGTTTAAATGTCGGTTTTGCTACCATTTTATTCCAGAAACTGAGTTTTGTTGCCAATCTCAAAGTACAAATGACAATCCTACTTTTATTAATTAGATCAAGTTATCATTATAGGAAGAGAATTTGACTTGGAAATTGATGCTTAAATACAATAGAATTCCTCAAGTGCATTAAAATGTCTTGAATTTCAGAGTCAGAACATTCCTGCAGAAACTGAAACATCTGACACTAAACCTATAAAAAAAAACCTTCGAAACAAATTTAAACGAGAGGTTGAATCTCAGTAAGACTCACAATGTATGAAATTCGAAGAAGATCCTTGAATAATTTAAGATACATAAAAGCTGCTTACTGAAATATAGTAAGAATCTGAAAATGCTTCATGATTACATATAAATTTAAAATTTTATATTCAATAACAGCAATTTAATTAAGGATACGTAAGTAATTTTTAATCTTATCTAACCAAAAATATTCAGAAACTTAATTATAACACCTTCAAAGCAGAGATTTATCAAACTATGGCAAGTAAACAATAAAAGAAAAATGTATTCATAAAATTTATAAGTAATATTCATCTAAAGCACTTACAGCATCTTGAAGCTCATTTGCAGTTTTCAGAAGTTCATCCAGTCTTTGCCTTAAAGCTTCATTGTTCTTTTGCAGAGCTTCGTACTGGACAACATCAACTCTTGATGCTCTTTGTGCAGCCTACAAATTTGTGCGATTAGTAAGCCTCTGATTTGATTCACAGAAATAAAATGTTTTTGAATATATGCTAAAAAGGCTTATATGCAATGAATTTACGCTATATTTAAATCTATGAGCATTGTATTAACAATAAATACATGCTGAAAGTGTTTTCGTAAGCCGCATAAAGTTGCTTCGGGGGCAACAGTCGTTAGTTTAAAATCACTCTCTTAAAGAATTATTGGTACGTGAAGTCACATGAACATAAAATTATATACGATTAAGACTTCTGTTCTGGCTGTAAGGCTGGAATTAGACATCAGAAACTACAGAGTAACTTATCAGTTTTTGACAACAGAAATAAACCTTTGTGAAATGATCTTTTCTGAAGGTATCACGATCTTTCTCTGAAGTATGAGAAGAAGCAAATAATTTTTCATACAGGCGGTTTCACGGACAGAAATTTCAACCATGCAGCTAGCTGGTCCGAAAATATATCCTTTTGGAACAATTTAGGTAAATTAGATACAATACTACTTTATTAAAAAAAGGTTATAAATTATTAAAAAGCACTACATAAATTGCCTTAAATCAGATAGTTTTTTTAACGGTGTTAATTTCAAGCATATATTAGAGATCTTATGCCCTTTGGAATAAAAGTATTTGTTGGAACTCCCCCCCCCACACGTCAAAGGGATCAGGTCACGTGACGATTAAGCAAGGATTTAAACTGCATGGAATGACAACATTTCTCGGAAATGGCCTTTGTCTGGTACATGAACACCAAATGCTTCTGTGCATATATTTTAAAAATTATTATTATAAATTGTACTAATTAGTAGTAGTAAACATGTATTATATAAATTAGGTTAAATAGGTATTCCGTTAAAAAGCCGTTAGGATTATATAATACACGGCATAAGAAGCATTGAGTTACAATATAAGATTTACCACTTAGCTGCATTAAAAACCACGTGAAACAGTTACATAATAAATTACATCAATTAGAAATATTCTAAAAAACTCGTTTTTAGACAACATGTAAGTAACTAAAACATTTTAAAGAACATATTCATTTATATATTGCAATTCATGCGAATCAGAGGAGCATTTGGCATTAAAAGCATTTTTTCTTGATTAATGAGGTGTATATGGTGTTAAAAGAATTTTCTACATAACTGCGAAGATATTTACCAAAAGCAATTTAACCATATTATAAATTATGAGAATTAGATGAATTAAGAATTACATCAGTTAGAAATGTAAGGAAAAAAAAAAGGAAAGTAAAGATATACTAAGGAAATCGTGTACTGCTTTTAAATCACTCAGTTTGTTAAGAAATTAAATTTTAATTTCAAAGATAAATTAAAGATACGTTAAAACGAGTCAGTTTACTTTAGATAGTTCTAACTGCTTTACCATTATCAATTAATCAAACATATAATTTGAAAGTTATGCCACTTCCGGGTTTAAATCCCAAATTATGGTGCTGGTTGCAAGAGCGTTTTCTTGGTTTTCCTGTACGTAACATGAATAGCAACCAGTTTCTCTTAAAAAGTCCACTACAAAACAATCCCCACTTATACGTTTTGCCTTCCTGAAATGAATCCAAATCTAGTTCTATGCCACGTCGAATGACAGCATTCACCATTGATTCGGAGTTGCTGGCATTCAAAAGGTGACGTTAGCTTTTCTGAGCTGCGATTTTATCGGCTGCTGTTCAAGAACTGTTTCAAGTTGGTTGGATTATGAGGTTTGTGATTGGTTGAAAATGAAAACAGTAAAACTGCATAAAAGGCCCGGAGTAGTTTTTCGATTCATGCCACTGCGATCCTTACACAAAGTGCACTTATTAGTCCAGTTATACAAAGGTTACAGGAACACATTCACACAATATAGACTTGGTTATGCAAATGGAAAATTCTGGTGAATGTCAATGAACAAGCAATACTATTCACAAAAATGAAGAAATTCAAGAAAAACCTACAGTTTTATGGGAAATCCATTCCCTGAGCCAGTCAGGTCCCTTATTTGGGGGTGATTCTCAGTAAACATTTATCATGGAACCCACACATTACATCTCTTCACCTGAAATTTTGAGCACGTAAAACCATACCATCTCCCGTAATTGCTTGAAAAAGTGTTTTCTGTCTATAGACAACAAGTTACTCATTTACAAATCCGTTCTACGTTTCATGTTATGTTATGCCTACCCAGTCTAGGCATATTCCTGTCGTTCCTATCGTAAGAAACTGCAAGCAACTCAAAGCTGCGTCTTAGAAAAATAACCAACTAACCTTGGTATAAAAGGAACAACAGAATGCATGAGAAGGTGAATGTTGAACAGCTTAGGTCTGACAATAGCCGCGTGAGTTTCAAATTTTATGAAAACCAGAAATTGATAAACAATCCTGCTATTATTATATGTGATTAAGATTATAATAACCCAGCAAACATCAAAAGGCCTATGGCTATTTTGAATGTCCAAAACGATTAGATAATTTATACGTTAATATTGTTGTTTCTCATATATATGTTTTTTCCCCCTCACTATTGTGTCTTCTTCATGGTATTGCTAAATATCGTATGTACATTGTCTAAGTAGTTATGGTAATATACTGTAACTAAATTTTTGAAGTCGAACGCACCAAAATTTTGCACTCACCTCTCAATGCTTATTTTGTCTTATTTCATATATTTCTATGTTTTCAGCACACGTCACCAGCTCGTCCAGCTGCTTCTGGCATTTTCTACTTTGTCTTTGAATCTTTTAAGCGAACTCCGTCACTTTAATCATATTTGCTTATAAAAAAAGTTATTTAATATTTTCTCCAGTTTTACTTTGTTAAGTTCTGTTAAAACTACTTACTATTCATAATCATTATTTATATAACCAACTTCAGTTATTGTAAAGTATGTATTCGCAATTGCTTAATTATTCAATTGGGGGGTAAGGCCTCTGACCTAGAGAATCCAGTGTTACACCGCGTATCTCGTGATCAGCAGTGTAATATTCAATCTGGCCAATAAGGCCCCTTTATGCGTAGCAGCTCCTAAAACTCCAAGACTGTATACTGCTGGTTCCACTGGTATTATTGACTTCTATCCTACTTAGAAACACCAGTGTTACGCTGGATGTTTCTGTGTTAGACGAGTTGTCATCGGATCCATACTCGGTTCGACTGATCCTGGACATCCGTAGTTATACCACATCAGACAAAAAAGCTTTTAGCACTGATTGGCATGTTTTTGTCAAAGCTCTAAACAACATTCCGTACACTCTTCCAACAGTCCACTCGGGGGACGATATTGGCAATTTAGTCAAGGAATTCATCAGAGCAGTACAAAGTGCACATTTCATTATTTAAAAAGAAATCAAGCAGTATAAGCCAAGAGATCCGAGGAGCTTACTTCAACTAGTTAAGAAGAGAAATGCTTCCAGGAGGCAGTACCAGCGAACAAGGCATCTATTGGACAAAGCCACTTTCAATAGACTTTGCGATGTAGTCAAGTCTCAAACCAATTATTGCGCACAACGCAACTGGACTAAATACCTCGAGTCACTTTCTACAGATGATAACTCTCTGGGGAAAGCAGTTAAGAGGTATAAAAATGTCACAATACTATTCCGCTCCTTAAAGGATCCCAATGGATCCACTAAACTGAGAAATCAGAACTTTTAGCTCAGCATCTGGAATCTCAGTTTCGCACTAACAACATTCACGATCCTTCCACAGAACAGTTAATTGCTGATTTTCACTCCGATTACATAACAAGCCGACGCACAGACAACATTATTTCAGCCATGCTGTCTGAAGTCTACAGCTGCATCAAGAAGTTGAAAAATGGTAAGAGCCTTGGCTATGACAAAATCACCAATCGAATGATCAAGTACTTCCCAACTAAAGTTAACCTGTTTTTCACCAAAATAGTTAATATCATCCTCAAGTGGCAACACTTTACTGAGTGTTGGAAGGTGGCGAAAATCATTCCCATTCTCAAAAACCTGCAAGTGCTCCAGAATCGTATCAACCTATTAACCTGCTGTAGTCACTAACCAAGATCGTAGAAGCTAATAAATATCCTAAGCTGAAAAATCAACAAGCACATCGAAAACAAAAACATTCTAATTCCTTACCAGTTTGGGTTCAGTTTCTCGAAATAGCAAAGGCTTTCGACCGTGTATGGCTGGATGCTCTCATCTACAAGTCACACGCTCTGGGTTTATCAGAGTACATTACACACATGATTAAATCCTACCTAGCCGGTAGACACTTTGTCGTTCACGGCATAGGAACACTCTCTACTCGCAGAACTTATCCAGGCTGGAGTCCCTTTTTAGACCTATAATTTTTAATATTTACGTGAATGACATTTCCATTATACCGAACACAACACTCGCAATGTATGCTAATGACACTGCGATCCTCACACAAAGCGCATTTATTAGTACAGTTATACAACGACTACAAGGCTACATATACAAAATTGAGGCTTGGCTCATCAATTGGAAAATCAAGAACGCAAGTCGAAGAAACGCAAGCCATATTGTTCACCAAAAAGAACAAGTTCAAAAAGAATTTACAACTTTATGGAGTATCTATTCTTTAGGTCAAGCAAGTCCTTTATCTAGGAGTGATCATCAGTAAAACTCTCTCATGGTCCCCACATATTACATCTATTATCAGAATGTTTCGAATACGTAAACATGCACTATTCCCTTTAATAGCTCGAAACAGTATACTTTCTATAGCGAACAAGCGACCATTCCTGTAAATCGATAAGGAAAAAGTTACTAAGTGCTCAAAAACGGGGTTTTGAATCAGACCACAGATGCACCATGGTATGTTTGGAGCCACAAGCTACATGCAGAATTGAAAATTGAGTTGCTAAGAATGTTTTACTGCCGTCTTGCTAGAAAATTGTTCAGTGATCAGAAATTAATTAAAAACTCCGCCATTAAATTTTATGATTATAATGTCAATGATCTATGTAATAGTAAGCGGCCTATGGCCATTCTT